GAATAGAAACCCTGCTTGAAAAAATAACAGAAAACTTTCTGAACCTGGAGAGGGGAAAAGCCCTGCAAGTTCAGGATGCACACAGGGTCCCAATCAAGATGAACCCAAAGAGGCCTTACAAGATACATCATAATTAAAATGCCAAGTTTTAAAGACAAAGAGAGTTTCTTAAAAGCATCAAGAGGAAAACAAGAAGTACCATACAAGTGAGCTACAATAAGGCTAACAGCTGATATCTCAATGGAAACACTAAAACCTAGAAGGGAATGGCAAGAAATATTTCAAGTAATGAAAAGGAAAGACCTGAAACCAAAAATACACTATCCAGTGAGGTTCCCAATTAAAATAGAAGGTGAAATAAAGTCTCACAGAAAAAAAGAAGGCTCAAAGAATACACCTTCACCAAAGCAGAACTGGAAGATATGCTAAAAGGACTGCAATGAGAAGAGGAAGGAAAAGAGTGAGAGAGAGAAGTACAAAGAGAATAAAAGAAATGAATGCCCGTTATTAATAACCTTAAGTATAAATGAATTAAATGCTCCAATCAAAAGACATAGGGTAGCTGAATGAATGAGAAAACATGACCCACAAGTATGCTGCTTATAAGAGACCAATCTCAGAAAAAAAGACCTACGAAGATCGAAAGTGAAAGGTTGGAAAAAAGTATTCCAAGCAAATGGACAGGAAAAAAAGCTGGGGTAGCAATACTTATATCAGACAAAATACGCTAAAAAAAAAAAACATAAAAAGAGACACAGAAGGACACTTCATAATACTCAAGTGAAGAGTCCATCAAGAAGACATAAACATTATAAACATATATGCACCCAACATAGGAGAATCTAAATATATAAGGAAAATCTTGGAGGACTTCAAGAAAGATATAGATAGCAACACACTTATTCTAGGGGATTTTAACACCCTACTCTAAAAAATGGATAGATCTTCTAAACAAAATATCAACAAGGATACTGTAGCATCGCACAATTCCATAGATCATATTGACTTTATATATATGTGTGTGTTACATATAAATCACAAATATGACATATATGGTATATATGACATATATATGATATATATGATATATATATATAAAACTTTTTATCCCAAAGATGCAAAGTACCCATCTTTTCAAATGCACATGGAATATTTTACAAAATAGACCATATTATAGGACAAAAAACCAACCTCAACAAATTCAAGAAAATGGAAATTATACTAAGCATTTTCTTTGACCACAAGTGACTCAAACTAGAAACCAACCTCAAAGAAAAAACTCAAAAATACTCACATTGTTTGAGATTGAATGGCAAGCTATTAAACAATGAACAGCTTAACAATTAGATCAAGGAAGAAATAATAAAGATTCCAGAAAGAAATCAAATTGGAAACACAACAGTCCAAAACTTATGGGACACAGCAAAGGCAGTTCTGAGAGAGAAGTTCATAGCCATACAGGCCTACCTAAAAATGACACAGAAACATTTCAAATAAACAACCTAACCCAACATGTACAAGATTAGAGGAACAACAATGCCAGGAGTGAGTAAAAGGAAAGAAATAACCAAGATCAGAGCACAATAAAATGACATATAGACTAAAATGACAATCCAAAGAATCAATGAATCCAGGAGCTGTTTCTTTGAAAAGATAAACAAAATTGACAAACTTTTAAGCAGACTCATCAAGAAAAAGAAAGAGAACCCAAATAAACACAATTAGAAATGAAAAGGAAAGGTTACAACTGATATCACAGAGACACAAAGGATTGTAAGAAGTTATTATGAACATGTATATGTGTCAAAAAAAAAGAAAAACCTGTGTGAAATGAACAAATTTCTAGAAAAAATATAGTCTCCCAAAACTGAATGAAGAAGAAACAGAAAGCCTGAACATACCAATAACAGCTCATGAAATGGAAGTAGTAATGAAAAAGATCTCCTGGCCACAGTAGCCTTGGACTGGATGTTTCACAGGGGAATTTTAAGGAAGAGTTAACCCTTATTCTTCTCAGACTATTCCAAAAAATCTGAGAAGAGGGAAGACTTCCAAACATTTTTTATGAAGCCAGCATCATCCTATTTCCAAAACCAGATAAAGAAACAACAAAGAAAGAAAAATTCAGGCCAATGTCACTGGTGAACATTGATGCTATAATCCTCAACACAATATTGGCAAACTGCATCCAGCAATACATTAAAAAGGTCATACACCATGATCAAGTGGATGAATCCCAGGGATGCAAGTATGGTACAATATTCACAAATCAATAAATGTATCACATTACATAAATAAAGGCAAGACAAAAATCACATGATCACATCAAGACACAGGAAAAGCCTTTGTTAAAGCACATTGCCCATTTCTGATCAAACAGCAAAGTGGGAATAGAGGGAGCATTCCTGAACAGGATAAAGATTATATATGAGAAATCTACAGCCCACATCATGCTCAACTAGTAAAAACTAAAAGCTTTGCTACTAAGATCAGGAAAAAGACAAGGATGTCCACTTTTACCTCTTCTATTCAATATAGTATTGGAAGTATGAGTCACAGTTATCAGATAAAAAATAGAAATAAAAGGCACCCAAACTGGAAATGAGGAAGTAAAACTGTCACTGTTTGCAGATGATATTATAGTGTACATAGAAAATCCTATAGACTCCACCAAAAAACTACTGGACCTAATAAGCAAATTTTGCAAAACAGCAGGTTTCATAGTCAATATTTAGAAATCAAAGGCAATTTTACACATCAACAATGAAAGATCAGAATAAGAAATCAGGAAAAATATCCTATTACCTATAGTAACTGGAAAAATAAAATATGTAGGAATAAATGTTACTATGGAGATGAAAGACTCAGAAAACTACTGTTTTCTGTGTACTGAGAAAACTGCACAGCACTGAAGAAACAAATTAAGGAAGACACAAACAAATGGAAGCATATACAATGTTCATGGATTGGAAGAATCAACATCATCAAAATGTTCATATTACCCAAAGCTATGTATAGATTCAGTGGAATTCCTATTAAAATACCAATGACATACTTCACAGATATAAAACAAACATTTCAAAAATTTACATGGAACTGTAAATGACCCCAAGTAGCCATGGCAACTTTGAGAAAGAGAAGCAAAGTAGAAGGAATAACAATACCTGGTATATAACTATCTTACAAAACCACTATAGTCAAAAGAGCCTGGTACTGGCAGAAGGACATGCACATAGACCAATGGAATAGAATAGAGAGCCCAGAAATAAACAAAAGTTTCTGTGATCAATTAATATTCAACAAAGGGGGTAGAAGCATAAAATGGAGTAAAAATAGCCTCTTCAACAGATGGTGTTGGGAGATCTGGACAGCTACATGCAGAGAAATGTAACTTGATTACCAACTTACACAGTAAACAAAAATAAATTAAAGGTGCATAAAAGACATAAATGTATACTGTGATACCATAAAAGTACTAGAGGAGAACATAGGTAGGAAAATCTCAGATATTCCATACAGCAATATTATCACTGATATGTCCCCTAGAGCAAGGGACATAAATGAAAGAATAAACAAATGGGATCTCATCAAAATAAAAATTTTCTGCATGGCTAAAGAAAACAGCATTAAAATAAAAAGATAACCAAATGTTTGGGAAAACACATTTGCAAATGATACCTTGGACAAGGGTTTGATCTTCAAAATATATAAAGAACTCATATGACTCCACTTCAGGAAGACAAACGACTCAATTAAAAAATGAGCAAAGGACCTGAATAGACATTTCTCCAAGGAGGACCTACAGAGTGCCCAGAGGCATATGAAAAGATGCTCAGTATCAGTGGCCATCAGAGAAATGCAAATTGAAACCACGAGATACCACTTCACAATAGTGAGAATGGCCATTATAAAGAAGTCAACAAACAACTAGTGTTGGAGAAGTTGTAGAGAAAAGAGTACCCTAGTACACTGCTGGGGGGAAGGCAAACTAGTGTAGTCACTATAAAAAACAGTATAGAATTTCCTCAGAAAACTAAAAATGGAACTGCCTTTTGGACCTGAAAATTACACTGGTGGTATTATGCCCAAAGAACCCTGAAACACCAATTCAGAAGAATCTGTGCACCCCAATGTTCATAGCAGGATAATTGACAATAGTCAAGTGCTAGAAGTAACCTAAGTGCCCATCAGTAAACGAATGGATCAAAAAACTGTGGTACATTTACACAATGGAGTATTATGTAGCAGAGAGAAAGAAGAATCTCCCACTCTTCACAGCAGCATGGATGGACCTGGAAAGCATGCTTAGTGAAGTAAGCTAAGTGGTGAAAGAGAAATACCATATGATCTCACCTATAAGTGGAACCTAATCAAGAAAAGAAACAAACAAGCAAAATATAAACAGAGACATGGAAATTAAGTACATTTACCAGAGTTGAGGGGGGATAGGAATAATAAGGAAAGGGCTGTCAAGGAACATGTGTGAAGGACACATGGACAAAGCCAAAAGGGGTAGATATGAGGGTGTAAGTATGGATGGGTGGGGCAGGGGTCATGGTATGGGGGGAAATGGAGACAACTGTAATTGAATAATAAGAATAAAGAGGAGAAGGAGAAGAAGAAAAAGAAGAAGAAGAAGAAATTTTCACATGTATAACATGGATGAACTTTGAGTATATTATGCCAAGTTAAATGGGTCAGTCACAAAAACAAAAATACTATATGATTCAAGTTATATGAGGTATCAACCTAAAATCATAGAAAAAGAATGTGAATTTGTGGTTGCAAGGGTCCAGGGAGAAGGTGAAATGGGGAATTGTTGTTTAATGGATATTAGCTCTGGTTTGTAAAATGAAAATCTTCTGGTAATAGTTGCACAACAATGTCACTATACTTAAAATCACTTAACTGCAAACATAAATGTCATTAAAATGGTGAGTTTTATGTTAATTTTTCACAATCAGAATAAATATTTCTTCTGAACCCCGTATCTTACAAACCTGTCCAAAAACTTCTTCATTAACAGTGAAAGTGAGGTCTAGTATATCTGTGATATTATTGTCCTTCATCCATTGCAAGCTCTGGTGGAATTCCTCATCCAAATATTCCAGGTCACTTAAATTGCAGGGCCTGAGTTCATGTAAAGGGAGAAAGGTTAAACAAATGTATGTACAGACTTCATTCCAAATATTTTTTAATCATTATTTATTAACATATAATTTCCATACTGTGGCAGTTGGTTTCTTCTTTTTACATTTAAAAAAATTTTCAATTACAGTTGTCTCAATTTTCCCCATTGCTCTCTCCTGCCCTGCCCATCACCCCTCTCCCACATTCAATCTCCCTGACATTGTCCTTCCCCATGGGTCCTTTATACCTGTTTCTTGACTTGATCCTTCCACTTTTTTTCTCCTGTTATCCCCCTCCTCCTACCCCTCTGGTCGCTGTCAGTTTGTTTTTTATTTCCATCTCTCTGGTTCTATTTTGCTTGCTTGGTTTTTTTGTTGATTAGGTTCCACTTATAGGTGAGATCATACGGTATTTATCTTTCACCGCCTGACTTATTTCACTCAGCATTTTACCAAAATGTTGTTATGCCACTCATGGCTATAACAATAGAGACTTGTTTTAACAATTTGATACTTTTGAATACATCACTGTTTTACTATTTTAAAAAGAAAATACTAAAATATCTACAATAATAAACATAAAATAATTACTGATTCATGAACTCTATGGCAATTAGATAAAATATTTATTTTAAAACAAGTTTTAGACAGATCAATGTTACTTAATAATTTAATAAAATGTTTGTAATATTTATTTAAACTATATTTGAGTAAACTATTTCATATTTATTATATGATGGTATAGCAGTCTTTTATGTTTACATAAAATTTCAAATGTCTTCTTTTTTAATTTTATTTTTATTGTTCAAGAAAAGTTGTTTTCCATGGATGGAACTGGAAAGCATTATGCTGAGTGAAATAGGCCAGGTGCTAAAAGACAAATACCATATGATCTCACCTTTAACAGGAAGCTAAACAACAAAACAAACAAGCAAGCAGAAAAAAAAAAAAACAAAGACACTGAAATAGAGAACAAGGGGACAGTGACCAGAGGGGAGAAGGAAGGGAAGTTAAGGGGAAAAAGGGGGGAGGGATTTGGAGGAACAAATAGGAAGGACACAGGGACAAGAACTAAGGGGGGTGGAAATGGGAGGGAGGTGGGGAGCAAGGGGAGGGGGAGGCTGGGATGGGAGAAATAGACAAAAAAATTGTACTTGAAAAATAACTAAATAAAATTAATAAAAAAGAGAATTTACAATACAGAAGTTAACCTAGCATTGGGAATCAATGACAGAAATAAAATTTTCAGTCTTGTCAGGTCAAAAAAAAAAAAAAAAAAGAAAAGTTGTTTTCATTTTCCCCTATCATTTGCCCTATCCCCAGCTATGCCCACTTCTCACCCTTGATCCTACCCCAGCTTTGGATTTTTCCATGTGTCCTTTGTAGATATTTCTGAAAACTCTTCCACCTTCCCCCCCCCCCCATGGTACCGTCCCACCTCCTCTCTGGTTGCTGTCAGTTTGTTCTTAATTCCAATGTCTCTGGTTGTATTTTGCTTGCTCGTTTTCTTGATTAGGTTCCACTTATTGTATTAAAATTTTTATGTGATATCTAATGACTCAGAAAAGTAAACCACAGCAAACCTCAGAGGAATTGTTAGGCAAAACAGAGACAAAGGGGCCAGAGGTACTAGGGAGGCCAGCACCTGTTGTCTTGCAGGTGAGGCCAGATGGACCCTGGTTTGCAATATACTTACAGTCTCAGGAGTGCCTTATAGAAGGGTCTTGTAAAGAAGGCATCAAGAAGGTACTGATGTATCAGAGCCAGACCTAGGATACGACCACTAAACCTGAACCTGGAACACAAACAAGGTAGAGATTTAAGAGCCGGTAGAAATTTACATTGTTAAATATGTTAACTTATATTTATATTGGATATATTTCTTTATAGTACTCATCTTAAGACACCTAAGGAATATGTCAATTGATGACACAAGGGAGACACCCATTCTCCTCCCTATTCTTTACCATAAACAGTGGTTATGTGCTTGGTATGTACTTAGGAACTATTCTCTTCCCCAAGTACCAGAATAGAATCATTTGGCCAGCATTCTCTTCTCAGGCCTGAGAATATAAGAAGCCAAGGGAAGAAAAGTGCTGGTGAAGAAAGTTTCTGTATAAATAGCCTACATTAACCCTGAGGAGAACCTGAACCCAAAGACAGTTTTCTGGACCATGCATCCTTACCTATTGAAACCTTCCAGAAAAAACACCTAAAGTTTTATGTGTGTGCACTATACTGGGGAGTGGAGGAATTGAGTAAAAAAACACAGATAGTAGTTGAGCTCAGTCAGTGGGAAGAATTACATAGAATTATATTGTGTTAAGCAATGAGCTGAGTCTTCACTGCCACTTAGCATGGCCAGGACACACATACAAAGAACAAGGTCTCTGCTGGAAAGAATTTGTCATGTAGACCTGGCCACTTCCAGGTGTCCTTTACTAATCTTTGTTGAGGTCAGTAGCTTCCTGGAATTTTTGCTAGCAACCTGCTTAACTGGATGCAGAGGCTCCCTAGAACTTGATCCCATCATTGCTCTACTCCTAAACAGCTTCTTATTGGCCAGGTCTAGCACACCAGTTTTTCCACTATACCAGGATTGCCCATTAGTGGCACGTACCTCTATAATTAGGGTCCCCTTGTTCTCTTCCCATATATATAGATTTTCACCTAAGTGAAGAATTAGGCTGTACCTTTTCTCAGGTCCTCCCAGTTAGAATTCCCAACTAACCCATATCCACTACTTTTTCATAAGGCTCTTTTCAGACTCAACAGATTTTTCATTCCATAGTGGCTATAAAAATATTGTTAAAATGACTAGACTATCTGATCTTGTAGAATAAGCATGATTATAAACAATAATTCAAATAGTCATTTTGGAAATAGTAAATGTTTTTTTGCATGAAATAATGTACAAATATTATTGAGACTGAAGAGGACCTCAGTAAGGGTGCTATGGGGCACTGTAGATGGGGAGGCTCAGAAAGTAATCAAACATCTTAAAAGTTTTGAGATCAATGTGCTCTCTCAGTGCTCTTTACTGACCACAACAGTAACTGATGATTCCCAACATGGTAACCATGGTCTTGTGCATAAAAACACAGTTCACACCAATACAGACTTGCTTACTCTAAGGCATTACAACTGATGCTTCGAACAATATGGTGGGCTTGTAGCTTTCCACATAGAGATGTCTGAGACCACTCAAAGTGTGAGTAGAGCAAACATCAACTTGGCCAGAGGTGACTGGCCAAGTACTATCTTAATTTAGAGGTGGTCCTGGAAATCCTAGTAGAGAGAAATTGGCTGGGAGTAAGTATCCTCAGATATGAAATACATGAAAATATTACACGATAATATTATTTTTAGCCCCATGTTAAAAAATGAATATGTCAAGGTTTGAAGATGGCAGAAGGGTTGGTGGAAGCTGAGTCCACTTGCTCCTGCTCCCAATCTGGATTTTCAGGTAAACTTTCAACAACCTGAACAATCAACTGAATCCTAGCTGACATAAAGTTTTAAAGCCAAGAAGTACAGAAGGTGCTTCATAGAGTCCAGTAAGGAATTTTTATAAGTGGAAGGGGAAATACCTTGTGTATTCTCCTATAACAGCTGAGAAACCAGAGAGAAGTTGAAGTTTTGGAGTTTCCTCTCCCCTTGGACCCAGGATACTTAGTTCCACACAGGAATCCCCAAACCAAGTTGGTGAAAACTTGGGGGGCATTCCACTGGGACTGAGACCCAAGCTGCACACTCACAGCATACAGTGCATCCATTGTTGCAGTGTCAACCTGGAGAGCACAGGATAGGGACTCAGGCTAATAAAGGGACCAGGTAGCCACACCGATGTCTGTCAGAGTCACCTATAGGCTGCAGTCAGCAGTGACTTTGAAAGGCATTTTGTTCCTTGAGGAGGTTTTATGAGTGGAGACCCAGTCAGTGACTCAGTTGTGTGGTGTGGGTATTGCACAGAGATTGATAAGAGCCCTGACAGCCTGATCTCAACAGACCTGCTCTCATCTTATAGACCCTCATCAAAAAGCTAAGGAGAAAGACAAGGTGAACTCAGGGAGGGGCAGAGTGGCTGAGGGGGAGGCCAACCTCAGGGAACCTTGGCTCTTATAACTACTATTAGTTCCACGCAAAAAAAAAAAAAAAAGCTGACTCTTTTACACAGACTGGCCCCTCATATGCACAAGCTGGTCTAATAAACACAAACACAAGCACAAAACAGTCTAGTAGCTACAGAGAGATAGCCTAGGGCTGGTTAAATACAACACCTGAAAGTGACCTGTATCTGAACCCCACCCAACTGGATCCAGAAAGAACAAAATCATTTTTGGGCTTAATCTCACACAAAAGCTCAAACCAACTAGCCACATAATCATTACATCTAAAGGAGGATTCCTGAAGCTCTGGACTCTCCTGGGAGCAACTCCTCATCAAGGGGCAGCAACTGCACACATGGAGGTTAAGAGTTACTCTTACTGGGACTTCCGCCAAGATGGAGGTTTAGGTGGATGTGCTGTGCCTCCTCACACAACCAAGTTTAGGGACAACTAAATATTAGCATCAGAAAACACAACCAGAACACGGAAAACTGAACTTTTCGGAAGTCCGCTAACAACAAATTCTTCAGCCCGACCGGTAAGGGGCGAAACCGGCGTCTGGTGAGGAGCTGCAAGGGAGGGCTCGGTCGGACCCGGGCGCGGAATCCAGACGCGCGAATCCAGATGCGCGAATCCAGACGCACAGGTTCCAAACCCAGGATTGGACCTAGTGAGCGACCGAGAGACCCACCGGGTGAGCGACTGCTGAGGAGACGGTGGGGAGGCGATGCTGCGTGTTGACTGCGGTTGCCTAATTGCGCGCGAGCGAGGGAGTGGGCGGTTGGATCGGCCGCAGCGGCGTTAGAGGGCGCCGCCATTTCCCCGCTCTGACCACGCCCCCACATACAGCATCACAACCCAGCGACCTGGGAATCCAAGGCGCAGTTTCTCACATTTAAAGGGCCAGAACAGACCAAAAATGTCGCAGGGAGACCTCAAAGCCCCAGAGATAAATCTAAGCGACGAAGAAATAGCAAAACTCTCAGACACACAGTTTAAAACACTGGTCATCAGCTTCCTCACAGATCTGGTTGATTATAGCCACAAATTAGAGAAACATATGAAGGCTAAATTAAGGGAAATGAATGGAATTCCACAGAAAACCCATAGAGATGAAAAGGAAACTGGGACTCAAATCAATGGAGTGGACCAGAAGAAACCAAATAATGGCCAAACAGAAAAGAGTCAAGGAGCAAGAATTCAAAGAAATGAGGAGAGTCTTAGGAACCTCCAGGACATCTTTAAACGCTCCAATATCTGAATTATAGGGGTACCAGAAGGGGGAAAGACACAACCACCAGTGGAAAAACTATTTGAACAAATAATAAAAGAAAATTTCCCCAATCTGGCAAAGGAAATAGACTTCCAAGAAATCCAAGAAGCCCAGAGAGTACCAAAAAAGTTGGACTCAAGAAGAAACACACCAAGGCATATCATAATTACATTAGCCAAAATTAAAATGAAGGAGAGAATCCTAGAAGCAGCAAGAGTTAAGGGGACAATCATCTACAAAGGAGTCCCCATCAGACTGTCAGCAGATTTCTCAAAAGAGACCTTACAGGCAAGAAGGGGCTGGAAAGAAATATTCCAAATCATGAAATCTAAAGACCTACAACCAAGATTGCTCTATCCAGCAAAACTTTCATTTAAAATGGAAGGACAGATAAGGTGCTTCTCAGATAAGACCAAATTCAAGTTCATCATCACCAAGCTCTTATTATATGAAATGTTAAAGGGACTTATCTAAGAAAAAGAAGTTAAAGAAACATGAACAGTGAAAGGACAACAAGCTCACAGTTATTAACAACCACACCTAAAACGAAAGCAAACTAAAAGAACAGCTAGATCAGGAGTGGAAATATAGAAATGAAGATCTCAAGGAGGGTTAGCAACAGGGGGAGTGGGAGGAGGAGAAGGGGGGAGAAGGTACAGAAAATAAGTAGCATAGACAGTAGATAGAAAATAGATGGGGGGGCAAGAATAGCATGGGAAATATAGAACCTAAAGGACTTGAGACACATGGACATAAACTAAAGGGGGGTAATGGTGGGGTTGGGGGGGCAGGGTGGAGGGGAATGAAGGGGGGAATAGAACAACTGTAACAGCATAATCAATTTAAAAAAATTAATTAATTAAAAAAAAGAGTTACTCTTACTGTCATCCAGCCAAAAGGTATAAAACTACCCACAAAAAAGCCACCAGCACTTAAGATTAAAGTACAACAAGGAGATAACAGTATAAACAAGAAACACTTCTGGGCCATGGAGTCTGGGTGTTCTGAATATTGTGCAACTAAACTTAGCAAGACATCTTTATCATAAAACAATTTAAAAGGAAGGTTCAGGAGACACAGCATACTTACCTAACACACAGAGATCAAATAGAGTGACAAAGAAAAATATCCTAGCCAAAAGAACAACAGAAATCCTCACAGAAAGAATTAAAAGATATAGATGAAATGAAAGCAACACAAATATCAAATGCAGAGTTTAAAATAACAGCTGTAAGGATGATGAAGACCTTACAACTCTTACCTAGGGGAGCAATAGATGACCTTAGTGAGAATTTAAATAAAAAATATTGTAAGCACTAAAAAGGATATTAAAAGCATAAATAAGAACAAAAGAGAAATGAAGATTACAATATCTGAAATTAAGAATTTGCTTGAAGGAATCAAAAGTAGATA